GCATAGTCTATCATGGACCTAACAAGGGAGATATACATCCACCTTAGGTCTCTCAGGGAGGCACCTGCATATCTGTTACTAATGTACTGCAATGGTCTTAAACGCTCAAGGCAACGTTCCTTGATGTTTATTCTTAGCAAAGCATGAGTTATGGGACATGGGGTGGGGAGCAGCCACCATAACACCAAGATATTTGTAAGTGTCAGCTATTGCAATAGTTTGTCCACCTAACCTTGGAATGTAAGGTAATCTACGAGATTTGGAAATATGCTTAGTTTTGATTGGGTTGATTATGAGACCAAGGGAGGCACACTTTTTGCTGAACCTCTGGAGAACGTAATCCCCCCTATCAAACACCTGAATAAAAATGTCATCAGCATTGGATGTGATGCTGCATAGGTTTCCTAACTCATCAATGAGCTTGCAAAGAGAGTGCATAAGTATATTAAACAGTGTTGGGGACAACACTCCCCCTTGTGAAGTGCCTAATTCCAATTCGCCATAAGCACTATAGATACCTTGATACCACACTTTTGCTCTTCTCAAAGATGGATAATCCTTTATCCATAGCAGAAGCTTGCCCTTAACTCTTAAAAGAGTTATTTCATGGAGGATTACAGACTGTGCATTACGTCCATTTAGGTACTGTGCTAGACACATTTGTGTTCCTCTCCCTTTTTGAAAGCCAAAGACAGATGGATGGATCATGTCTTTGATCTGATGGAGTAAACGAGTGAGGAGAATTCTTTCACAGGTTTTTGACAGGCAGGACGTCAGAGAAATTGGTCTATATTCATCAGGCCGTCCTGGTTTTGGAATAGGAATGATGGTTGCCTGTTTCCAAGAGGTAGGCAAGATGCCTGTCATGTAGGTTAAGTTGAAGAGATCAAGAAGAGGATTTCTTCCCTTTACCTGTACTTTTGCAAGAAGTCGGATGATGTCATAAGTGATTCCATCATCCCCAGGTGCGGTGGATTTGCTAGTCTTAATGGCTGCAAGGAGTCCCTCCCTTGTAAATGGTGCATCAGGTGGCACTGGTAGTCAATTTCGTTTTTATGGCTTAATTTAAGGGAACACCTACGTATGGATAATGGAAGGCTATCAAGAGAAGAATCCTCACACCATTTATTAAGGAGAGATGAGGCTACCCTTTCTGGATGTGGGTGGGGTGTTATACTGCATGGATTGCCTTTGATCTTGCTAATTTCCTTCCATACATTACTCATGGTTGTCATGGAGTCAATTGATTTTGCCCAGGCATAATTTTTTTCTTCCCGCTTTCGTGTTATTATCTCATTGATCCCTTTACTGAAAAACACAAGATCTTTAGCTAAGTACGGGTTTTTCCCCAAGTGTCGTAGCTGGCTTACTGTAGATCGTATGAGTCTCCTAAGAAGTTTTATCTCAGGGTCTTTGTTTAGTTGTTGTGCATGTCTACCTCTGGAGGATAGAGATCTGTGATTGGCAGAGCTTTTGGGCTGTATTTGAGTAATGATATTGCCAACTTGCTGACAGAGGGTTTCATTAAAGTGATCCAGGCTGGTAGGAGTAAAGTCTTCATACCAGCAGGCAATTATTTCAATGAATTCATTGTGAAATTTAGTAGCAAGGTGGTATCAAAGGCGTGTCTGGGGTGGAGTTCTTTTGCAAAAAGGGAGGGATTTTTCGAGGGGGCATAATAAATGTATGGGATCACTAGTATTTTGGAGATAGTCATAATAAGCCTTACCGTTTTTGCCAATGGTACTTCCCTCGGAGCCTAGGAGAGGATGGCGAGCATTAAAATCCCCACACAATAAGACAGTATCAGTATGTATCATGCAGTCAGGATGTTTAGGTACCACCTCACTATCATGTGGATTATATACATTAATGATGGTGATAGATTTATCGTCTAGAAATATTTTAATACTAAGATATTCAACACAGAAGTTGTCACGATTGTCATCAATCACTTTCGATGGAATTGAGTTCTTTATGTAAATGCCAAGCCCTCTCGTAGAGGGGTTAGCAATATTTGGTCTGTCATATGTGTATCCCGCAATTTTTGCATAACGAGCACTAGTTCTGACTTCCTGAAAGCAACACACATTAACATTTCCGAAGTGAAGATACTGGGAGAGAGTTGCCTTGCGTTTCTGCAAACTGTTTATGTTCCAGGTAATACATTTCAAGTGATTAACTGGAGACATTGATTACTTGGCCAATTCCAAGAGAGAGAGAGAGACAAAGAGCATGTGAGAGAGAGTGTAATGACAGGGGGAGACCATCCCAGTGCGCTGTCACAATGCAATGATGTGGGTGGTGTTTATCCCACTTGCTGCCGCCAGTGTAATGGTGTGGGAAAGACATGCCCCCACTGTGATAGTACTGCTTGTTTATTCTTGGGTGTAGAGTTAAAGATATCGCAGATTAAAAAAAAAAAAAAAATCCCATAAAAAATGTGATTTTTATTATTATCATTATTCTCAACATTATGATGCTATATTTGATGGAAGACAAAATCTCTGTTTGAGTTATGTGAAAGGTAAAAATACAAATGTGTGATGAGCTCAGTGGTATCTACATTGATGAAAAAATAAGGGTTAACCTCATTAGTGATGCTTCTGGTTATAAGGGGTGATTTCCAAAGGCAATGTACCTTAGTTCTACAGCCATTGGAAATACAAATACTGAGGATAGTGTGTATCCAGTCATTTTCTCAGTTTTGGGATTGACAGTAGAGTATACAGATAGTGCAGCTGCTCTCTCTCTCTCTCTTTCTCTCTTTCTCTTTCTCTCTCTCTCTCATGACCTCTGTCACTCTAGGAGTTTGGGAACAAAGTCATCCAAGAGGCAGGAGAGGCACTGGCCCCGAAGGACATGCCCCAAGCGCTGGGAGGAGAGGACAGCGCCGTTGCCTTCACAAATCTTCAGGATATGGTTAACAATGCCTCCATCACCATCGCGACCTTGTTCACAAATTACACAAAGAATTTCACAAATGGAAACCTACGTAAGGGTTGGGTCATCCTTTGTTCTGTTCAAGTATATTATGCCTGGTTTGACAAGGGAAGGCGACGTATAGACTTTTTTTTTTTTTTTTTTGGGGGGGGGTTAAGTATAACAAGATTATTTTTTAAGAGGGCGATGAATGACAAACCCTATATCACTGCAATATTCCCCCTAACCATTCACAGATTTCTCACCCGAGTTACTTAGCCACTCGGAACACCTTTTCCGCCACACAACCATACTGATCCACCAATTACAATCCCTCCCAGACATGCAGGTGTCCAGTAAACCCTTGAGTTACTACAGCAAGCCTGAAGCTCGCCGTTTCGACACTCCGTATTCCGGAACATCTGTTGAACTTCCTGAGGAGCTCTATAAAGATGGCGTGGGCGAAGACGGCTCAGTGAGAGTCGTCATTGTGTCGTACGAGACCCTCCCTAACATTAACAACACTATTCCTCCGTAAGTCCCCGAATGTGCTGGTGTGTAGTTTGTGGTGACACCGCGTTATCTTGCTTGGATTCCGAAGATCGTTGCATTAAAACGCTGGGTGTTTACACGTCCATAGAGAGCCCGGTGCAGATTCTAAGGAGGACTTTGCCGTCAAAGATCAGCTCGGCAGCAATATTATCAGTATCACCGTGGTTGGAACTGAAGACTGGCGTTCAGGTAAGGTCAGCTGGCTTGCCTGGCTTGTGGCGTCTCTTTGTACCATAAGAGAGACGTAGTAAGCAGTTGGAGACATGTATTTCCGTCCTTTGATCGAAAAAGGAGAGTGAGAGACCTGACCGAAAGAGAGAGAAAAAACACATGTATACATGATTATGTGTAAATTTCAAAAGACTTCCTTACAAATAAAACAAAGAAGGGAAAAACAAGAAAACGCACGACTATGCCGAAGGTCTTTTATATTGCTTCTTCAGGACAAGAAGAAAAAGCTGTTCTATTTGCAATTTGTTCATGAATCCCACACTGCCTCTCTTAACTGCTAGTATATCTCATTTGTTTTAAGTATGTGTAAACCACAGATTTTTATATTATTTTCGAATTATTTGCATCATTTTTGTAAATCCTAGCAACTGTCTCTCTTAACCAGTAGTAATTCCCAGTTTGCAATATCTTAACTAGTATCATGTCCCATTTTAATTTGAAATTGTGTACATGTGTCCGTGTGTGTTTGAGAGAGAGTGTGTGTGTGTGCGTTTGTGTGTATGTTTGAGAGTGAGTGTGTTTGAGAGAGTGTAAAAGTGTTTCTTGTGCGCCCAGTTTCATTAAAGAGCAAACTGGCAACTTCCTCAAATCTCGTTTTTTTTTTCTTTAAATCAGCTGACACCTTAATGCTTCTGCTTACTTATGCTAGGTAATTTTCAAATTCGGAGATAATAGTTTCACTGTTTAGACGGAATATAGTAGTAATTAACCATTCGTTTGTAGTTTAAGTTTGTAGAATCTCTCTCTCTCTCTCTCTTCCTCCCTCCCTCTCCCTCCCTCTCTCTCTCTCCCCCCCCTCCCTCTCTCTCCTCTCCTCCCCCCCTCCCTCCATCCATCTTTCTCTCTCTCTCTCTCTCTCTCTCTCTCTCTCTCATTCTCTCTCTCTTTCTTTCTTCCTTTCTTTCTACCTCCCTCCCTCTCTCTCTCTCTCTCTCTCTCTCTCTCTCTCTCTCCCTTCCTACCTCTCCCTCCCTCTCCCTCCTTCTCTCCCTCCCTCCCTCTCTCTCTCTCTCTCCCCTTCTGTCTCTCCCTCCTCTCCCTACCTCCCTCTCTCTCTCCCTCCCTACCTCTCTTCTTCCCTCCCTCCCTCCCTCTCTCTCTCTCTCTCTTCCTCCCTATCTCTCCCTCCTTCTCTCTCTCTCCCTCCCTCCTTCCCTCCCTCCCTCCCTCCTTCCCTCCCTCCCTCCCTCCCTCTCTCTCTCTCTCTCCCCTTCTATCTCTCCCTCCTCTCCCTACCTCCCTCTCTCTCTCCCTCTCTACCTCTCTTCTTCCCTCCCTCCCTCCCTCTCTCTCTC